AATCTACCTGGAACTGTGTTTTGCTTCATTTACACATGTTTCATCCTTTAGTATTAGTCTGTCTACATCTCCAAACCTCAAAATGTTTTATTCCACCTCATGATGTAGCAGTTTTCGGGATGCAACGATATCCAAATCTCACAATATATTTTCACGGTAAACATCTCACGGTACTCTATTAACTGCGAGACTAACAAAATTGTGAATATGCTACTTTTTCCTCTTAAACCCTCACGCTCTCCTCGGGGTCACATAGACCCGAAAATTATTATTTTTTCCTTCCCGCTCTCTTGGGGCGGGTCAGTCAGTTCCAAAAATGTATTTTCTCACCTGGCGAGAATTTATTTGAAAATAAATGTTGGGTTTGATTGACCCGCCCCAAGAGAGCGGGAAGGAAAAAACTAAATTCTTCAGGTCTATGTGACCCTGAGGAGAGCGTGAGGGTTTTTAAAATGCCTTGACAAGACTTAATTCAAAGAACTAAGATTTAAAAGTGCTTAGAACAATTATTTCTTCATGTAGTTTGCACCAAAACAGAGCAAAAGATCATGGTCGATGTAGTTCCCTCTGATTTTTTAGCTATTGCTGCACCATAACAATGAATTTAAGCAGAGAAACTTGTGATTCGATATTATTATTGTGAGAACTTTAACGATACAATATCATGATATTTTGGTTATTGTTACACCCCTAAGCAGTAGTTTTCAAGTTCACAGCTACGTTTTACCTTTAGTTCAGTAGAGATGAGGCTGAAATTATCCGAATGATGGACAGTGTTTTGAGCTATGGAGATGTAGACAGACTAATAATAAAGAATTACTCAAACATGTGAATGAAACAAAACACAACTTCAGGTATTTGAGGGAGTAATAACAACAAGTAACAACAAGAAGAATCCATTTTGTGTAATATAAGACCTTAATATGCCGTATTGTGGATTATTCCAGGCAGTACAATAACATTTCCATGAAGACAAGCAAGTGGCAATAAGCAAACTCCACCAGAAAAGTTAGACAGTGCACCTTTAAGACAGTAAAACTCAGTCACACAAACAATTCAAGCTCCTTTTTCCTTCTCAACAGAAAAAAAATGTGTAAGTTGCAGAACACAAATTGCCTTCATTTTCGAGAGGACCGTGGAGCTTATGAGAGCGGTTTGGGGTGAGGAATGGGACACGTATTGTTTAATGTGATGCAGGAGGAGGATAAAAGCATTGCCTTTTGTCTATGCGAGCGTGGCGGTGGTAACAGCATGAGAAATGAACAAACTCCAGAACGCCATCATTTATGCATGAAACAGCGCATATATGAAAGATTCTCACAGCTTTTATGTTTGTCCAAATAACCTCCTTAGAGAGAGTCATGTTTATTAATATGGTGTAGCTGTGTGGACACGTTGGGTGGTATAACAGTTTAGAAAGTCATCCCCGAGCCAAGACCTGCTACTTGTACTTTAAGGAGGAAGTATGTGTTGAGTACGAGTATAAACTATTTAGAACATCCGTTGTAAGATGACTGTGTAGTCTGTGTAATTTTTATTTATTAATTGTATGTGATGTTGGAGTAGCCCTTTTTATTCATATTACCTTTTCATGTAGTCAGCTTCACAATTCCACAAGGACTTGAAAAACACTTTGAGGTCCAAACCATAGACTGAATATATAAATGGACATACAGTAGCTAATCCTCTAGTCGCCGCGTTCCAGATAGGAAGTATTTATGGAGGGGTTCTGGTGTCCTATCGATTTGAGCTCCCCAGTGCTACTGCGCATGCAAATGACCCCCAAGCGCTATTACAGTTTAAATGCACGTCGATTTGAGCTCGACGTGGTGTAACAAGTCACATTTTAAAAGTGTATTGGTTTTATTGTATGTTTTGACCAGTTGTGAACAATGACATATTCGTGTTAGATTTGCAGCAAAATACCTACATTAGATGAGTGAATAATTTGGATTTAATGTTTGTTTTTATCGTTATAATTTTTATTACGTCAGATTTTATTTTGTTTCCATGTGTAGAAAACGTTGCAACTTTGTTTATAAATGTGTTGTATAAATAAAATATCACTATATTATATAGTATGAAATTCACACTGTAGCCTATGATATTAAACATTAATTATATATTTAACTCTATTTAATATAAAGATTTCAGTGTTTCCCTTCCAGTTCCAGTGGGAGGCTTATTTAAAAGAAGATATATGTCTGTCGAAATGAGCTACCTCCTAACTAAATTCATATAAATGAGTGAATAATGGTGATTCTGTGGTGGGAGATTTATTCGATGGCTAAATTGGTCTATCGATATGTGCTGCCTTTAGTCGGAGCCCTATTTGAGCATATTCATATAAATTAGTTGAAATTGTACATAACTAAGATATAGTTTGATCACTGTGTGCAAACAGCGTCTCTAATCCAAAGAAATATGTTGTAAAATTGGGATGATTAGCTTTTGGATCTATACAACAGTAAACGGAAAAATGTAAGGTAGCTTATTTTGACGGAGTAACGTGAATTGTCACTGTCGATTTAGGCTGCTGGTAGCTCATTTCGACGGGGCAGCCCATTTCAACAGAACACCGGCTCTATCAACTCTGTTTCCAGTGGACTTGACATTGGAAAATTGTCACACCTCTCTCTCTCTCATTTTGGTAATAAGGACCTGGCTCCAAATTCACTCCTGTAACCGCTGAGCTTCATTTGTCTGGAACCGATCGCCATGGGTGACCTCACACTCCCTTAGTCCACTTCTTTATACAGTCTATACTCCAAACTAAGTCCAAAAGTGCAATAGGCCTAGACTGAATCTTGGCTGAATGAAGAGTAAACAACCAGGACAAACCATGACCATAAATCAGAACACAAATTGACCTAAATAGACTTATAAATTGAGTCTGGAACTGTAAAAAAGTTTGAGTACTACCACTATAAGCATCATTTGTACCAGTTGTCGCTGCATCACCTACTACAAAGCACCAACAGTAAAGTAAATTGCATGTTTTAGCACTAGCAAAATTAAATGAGCTGACCAAGTTTGTATAAAGTCCATCTGTTCAAGTACCTATAATGTACCCGAAGTCCTCTGAATGCATTCCTAAAATCAAAATTCTTCTTACACCACTTTTAGGGGCCAAAGCAGAGTTTGCATCATGGGTAATGCTGACAAATCATAGCCTGTTTACAAGAGACTTGAGTGTGCAAACAAGACTTCAGGCCTGTCCTTTCGTCTGGCGGTCAGCCCAAATAAAATATCTGCTACCAATTATATATCTGTCTATTTTTACTGCTAACGGAGCTGCTGCTGGGTTTGTGATCACAGCGCGCAGTTGTTGGATTTTTCTGCTGCTTTCTTAAGTTACAATGCCTGGATCATTCTTAAAGGTGCATTATGGAACTTTTTGTTTGGGGGTCTGTCACCTCCTTCTTTCTGTAGTTATTTTCCACTGCTCTACCTTACATTTATTCAATTACAAGTGGTTTTATAGTTCAAAAACACCTAGAAAAACAGACTGACTGAGCAGGGTTGCCTCTCCACAGATGTGACCTCTAGTTTGATCTCCATGAAGATAGGAAGGTTTAATCCCATGCTGTGAAACATTGCAGACACTAGTAAAGTTACACAATGTATCTTCAATAACCTAATTTTTCATTGTGAAGTCAGTCTTTGTTTACGTTTTTTAAGGCTGTAAATGGTGTAGTTGTTATAAAATGTTGCCCCAATTTTGCTGAACAGTAAAAATGACCCAGTTTAACTAAAGGGCCATTTCTTTTTTATTCTTTAGAAATGGCAGCCGTGTTACAAATGAAGGAAGTGGTGCGTCTGAACCCTTGGAGGACACAGAGGGTTAGAGTGAGAGTGCTGTAAGTGTGTGAGAAGAAGACAGATGGGTCACAGTGCTCCCTCAGTGGGGCCGGACTGGAGCAGGGCTAATTACAGCTTAATTAAATACAAGCGCCCGGTCCCATAAGGATAGCGAATGTGTAACTGTGAGCAGGGCCGGGTATCGTTAAGATGGTGTTAATATGATACATATCTGGATACGTAGGCCACGATACGATACACTTTTCAATACAGTGAGCTTTCGATTCAATACGATTCAGTATTCAGTGAAAAAACATCTAAATCATGGCGTGATACTAAAAGTTTACTAAATCCACTAAGTTAATGTGCAGAGTTAATATGAAAAAACACCAATTTTACTCAAAACAGTGAAAATGTCAACACAACTGCAACTCTTATACAAAATAATTTAGTAAAATACAGCAAAACTTTAGAGAGCAGTGTAGGGACAAGTGTCGGGACCAGCCTCATATACAAAGTTGAAAAAGCTGAGGCTCAAAAAATACAAAATAAATAAAAGCCTTTCATACCACATGCTAGATAAAGTTAAAATCACACCAACATGTTTCAGGCTTTCGGCTTTCATCAGGGCATCAGGGCCAAAACGTGCTGCCGTGATTTTTGCGTGAATTATTTTGTACTTTATGAGTGTCTCAGCTTTTTCAACTTTGTCATTTAGGGCCTGTTTACACGAGAACGATTGCAGGTAAAAGCGACAAAATATTTTATCGGAAGTGCCTTTCGTTTAGATGGTGACGGCGTTTTTGGGGCATAAAAACGCAAAAATCTGAAACCACCCTCCAGAGTGGAAAAGCTGAATACACTCCGCCATAGTGTTTTCGTTTACACTGTCCAAGACGCAAAACTCTAGTCAGATCTGCTCACGTCGCGTACACGTTTACGTCGCGTACACGTTTATGTCACGTACATCAACACCTAACCTCCTGGCATGCATACCCAATCGAATTTCTCACACTTTTGCATCACCATATGCACACAGATTTTCTCCCGACGCCACTTTTGCGTCTTCTGTTCAGACCGTCATCGCCTTAGTAAAATATACTTAAAAATACTCTTAGCGATCGATATTGATACAGCAGCCCACGATATCGATTCTGTATCATCAAATTAAACGATGACTGTGAGTGTGTGTAACTGACCAGTGTTTGAGCGCAGGGCCCGTGCAGAGATGCCGTTGGTCCCTATAGGATGATGGACGCCTCCTCCGTCCAAAACCCCCGCCTCTCCTGGCTGCTTGAGCAACTCCGTCAGAGTCCTGCAAAGAGAGAGAGATTTTACAAACATTTTAGCATTTTTACTCTACAAACACTTTCACGGCAAATTTAACAACAATAATAAAAGCTGATACAGAGATGGAGAGGGCGAGTGAGTTGATCAATGAAAATTAAAATGTGCGATTCCCACACAGTCTTAACACAGTGAGAAACAGATGGTCCCTCTCTATAAACCGAAACTGCTCAGAGTGTGTTTCAAATGGAGCACAAAGAAACTGTCTGGAGCTTTGCCAAGTTGGAGTGTCAATCATGTACAAAAAGATATTACATCTTTGTACTGTTTGATGCTTTTTTTTTTGTAACAACTTGTGCAAAACTGCAGCACAGACCGGAAAAGACCATGCATGTTTTCTCTCATAGGACAGCCTAACACAATCAATAATCAATGAGTTTATTTAGTTCAATGTGATACTTTTAACATGCTAGTCATTTAAATCTGGATTTTGGTTGTCGAAATTGTTTCAAAATCAGAACTCGGCAAGGTCAAATCAAGGTCAAATTCTGATTCATTCTTAAATTTTTATATAGTATATGGTTAAAATGTTTAGGGTAACTGATATTTTGCAGCTGATGTTGTTAATATTCCCTGGGTGTGTGGGGCTAACTGTATGCACTGCTTTGTCTGAAGCTTTGTTACTCAGGGTAGACTTTAATCTGAGCTCTGTTTTAACACAATCTGGCCATAGAGAACTGACTCTGTAAAAGTTCAAGTTACTCTTATATACATTAACATACAGTCCATGGCATTTAATAGTAAGGTTACGCTTTTATTTTGGTGACTTCCTGTGTGAGAGGAAGTGACTTGATAGAGTGAAATGACACAAAGTAAACATAGCAACGTTAACGGTGAAAAACAAAAGCTACAGTGAAAAGTTATGTAAAAAATCTAAAGATAGCAGCAGTCGACAGGGGAACAAGGTTTGTTTTATTTGTGATTGTATATTTGAGCTTCTTGTAATTTGTACTGAATTAATGTTAAAATATGATTAACTGTTAAGCAATGTAATGAGCGAGTGATATGGTAATCCTATGGTAATTTCTGTTATTTTGTTCTTGTCTAGCTCTTACGTTGGTTCTATGACACGGCAAGGAAAAGATTAAAAGTCATTTAACCATCAGTTCTTGCCTTCTCAATTCGACTAGAAAACAGGATCATGAATGTCTGTATTGATCAGACTCCTGTAAATGTGTTGTTTAAATCCACTTTGTATTTTTTGGTAAGCTTTCAGACCTAAAAATCTAAATCTTCAAATCTAAAAATCTAAAACTAAAAACATTGTCACTGCAGAGTATCAATACAAGAAAACACGATAACGTCGCGTTCAGGCCGGCAGCCATTTTAGTAGGCAAAAATCGTCTGTATCAACAAGTCAACATCAACATTTTCAACAGTTATCGGCGTATAACATCAGCAATCGTGATACAACAATACAACTTCAACAAACATCATACAGCAGTACAGCATCAACATTGTCAACAGTTATCGGCGAGTTTTAATGTTTCAAAGTAACGTTTTTAATCCTCAACATTCATTGACTTAGAGTAAGATGATGAAGTCATGTCAAAACAATTAAATGCAAAATCTACTTCAAAATAAGACAAGTTATCTCATGACAGACATACGCAACACAACAGTCAACACAAACGAGCAGCGTTACTGACTTTTTGTCTACCAGTCACTGCGCACGTGTGGAAAAGCCGAATGTAAACAAAAACAATGTTTTCTCCTATTCTCTGTCAGAGTTGTTGAAGTTTTGCTTATTGCTGCATATATATTGCTGTGTTGTCTTTATATTTGGGCATATTTTTTTCTGCATTGTTAGAATAGTTGCAACAGTTGACGTCAGGGCAGTTTACAAGATTTTCTTTCTGCGTATTTGAGCAGAATGTTTCTTGCCCCAGATATATCATATTGTATAAGCAGCTTTTAAGATTAATATAAAGCTGTGTGGGAACTTTTATTTATCAAATATTTTATTATATTGGAAGTTAGTTGCTAGTAGAAGTGCTGGTCTCTCTGAAAGTTGTGAAATGCTTATAAACTAATCACTTTGAAAAAATAGATCCTATGATTGCATAATATAAGTGAGGAATAACTTTGGATCGCTGCAAACTGTTTAAAATGATCTAGTTCTGTTATTCACATTTTAAAACAGTAAAAATCTGGTACAGCGCCTGGAATAGCTCGCTGAAAAATGTGTAACTTCAAAAATTGTAAAGAGACAAAAAGATAATGTTGACATACACCAAAAAACCCAAGCCAGTTTCATATATTTGTAATAGAAACACAACTCTGTAAACACGTTCTTGTATCTTTCAAAAAGTGATGGCCGATTGTTATCTCCCCACACCTACAATCCGTCACATTAACAAGCCCTCGGAGCCGATTGCGTCAGCGTTCACAAGGACATTACCGCCACACAGTCAACTAATCTGAGCTGACCCAGGCGCTGCCACGAGGAGAACCAGGCATATTTCCTCTCTGTTAATTGCACTGTTGAGGGCTTTCAAAATACACCACAGCAATTGTCTTTTTATTAGCCCGCTGTGAAACGACGGCCATGAGAGCGCCGAGCATGAAGAAGCTGCACCATAAAATGAATTCAACACCGCCGCATTAAATCTGCAGCTATTTTTAAGCTCTTTGGTGCTAAAACGCCTGCTAATGTTTACCACTGCTGCAACCACTATATACCGCCATTACATATGCTGTTTTTAAGAGCACGCTGCAAAAGTGAATACCTGTAAAAGTGGGAGTTCAAATGGATCGTACTCAGAAGCCAAGTCTTGTGTTTAATAATAACACATTCAATTATATAACACTTTTTGGACCAAGTATATAATTTGACGGTTGCTCAGTTGGCAGAGTTTTATCCACTGATCCGACAATTGCGGTTTGAATCCTGCTCCTGACATAAACATCGAGTGTTCAGATTAGGGCTGGATATCATTCAAAAGTTGCAGATACGATGCATATCTCCATACAGTGAGCTTATGATTTGATATGATTCAATAAAAATAAAGCCTAGATGTGATATTAAGTCAAAGTTAGTAAAACATATTTTAATCATCAAAACAGTGAAAATGTCAAATGTGTTGCATTAACGAGTTTCCTTCCTCTGAACAAGCTACGGAACTGTTAGCTAATCTGGCGCCACCTAGTGCCTCCGCACAATTTCATTTCTCTCCAGTGACTAGGTCAGGAATACACTAGACGGTTTACAAGAACCCCAGAAGTTGTATGTAGACCACGCATCGGCCAATCAGTGAAGAGCTGTGAAGCCATGACGTCAAACTCTCAAATGTCAAAGCGCCTGTCTATGTCCCTTTTGTGGTAGAGCACAACAGTAAACAAAGTGGTCGAGATGGATGCAGACGAAGTCATACATTCTGTACTGGCAACAATTTTCGAGATCGAGGATTTAAAGCCGGAAAAAAGAGAATGTTTAGTGAATTTTATCAGGGGGAAAATCGTTATTCCTTTCTTCCTACGGGATTTGGAGCATTACATACGTCACAACCAAATAGCAGTGATTGGTTAAATAAAAAAAGTACTCGCCTACCGTCGAGCGAACAAATCCTAATGCTGCGAGGTCAGACGGTTTCTAGGAAGTGAAACCGGCTGATGAATCAGGCTACACAACTGTTGCCCTATAACAAAATAATTCAGTAAAATATACCAAAAAAATACTCTTGGCGATATATTGATACAGCAGCCCACAATACTGATACTGTATTATCACATTAAATGATATGATATATATCAATATTTACATATTTTAGTTAAATCTCCTGACCCACAGATAGACGGTGTAATTTCAGCTCTCACAGAGGAATGCTGTCATTGTGTCCTTGGGCAAGACACTTAACCGGCCTCATCTAGTGTTTGCATACACTTTTGAGTGTGTGAATGGCTCTTTGTGAAAAAAGCTGCTGTATATAAAATTTTAACAATTCATTCAACTCGTACTCAGTGGTGGTAAGATACTATTGTAGCCACAGCTGCCCTGGGGTAGACTGATTGAAGTGAGGTTGCCAATCAGCCCCTCCAACTACCAACACTCATGCACATTCTACTTTTGTACTAGTTGGGTGAAATGTCTTGCCTAAGGACACTACAACAGCTCTGACATCCACTGTATACCAAATCTGCCATCCAAATCCTTTTAAATTGGTTAATTACATAAATCAAATCTTTCTTGATGGATAGATTGTCAAGCTTGAATTTAACAAAAAAGGAGCAAATTATATTTAAACCTTTACAATGACGCTAATGGACATGGCTAATAAAATCTGAACAGTACAAGTTTTAAAAGGACGACCAAGGACAACACCGGGACACACTGTACCCATATATTTTGCGTTTTACACTGGCAAGCCAATCCACTTTGTCTAGTAGCTCTCTCATTAAAGTTTGTCCACTCGTTTTGCTTTCCCCAGCAGCCAAAATGCATCAGTCTTTCTCCCATCCACAGCCCTCACCCCCTCAGAATGCTTAGCACTAACAGCCAGGCGAGCTTGTTATCTCCCCTCACCATCTCAGAGGAAACATCTCTTTTTCTAATCCCTTCTGTCTAATCTGCTCAACTTCATGCATCCAGCTCTCTTGCTGTTGCTGGTAGGCCTGTATATCTCTCTACAACTTATCTTCAACCATTTTTTTTTCCTATTAATCCTCATGATCTGCTCTTATGTGCCCTCCCAGGCCCTTCGCCCCTTTGGCCCACTTTCCTTTAACTATTCTCGGTTTTTTCTTTGCTCTATGTTGTCCTCCCTGTGGTCACTGTCACATAAACTTGGTTCAGTTGAAATGATCCGCGTCAAAACAAGAGGCAAAAAATGTCTTACAAAAACATACTAACAAATGTTAACTAAGGAATAACTCAGGAATAATTAAGGATCAATCTAAGTGTAATTTTGAAATTATCCAAGACTGCAAATCTCCATTTCTAAAATCTAGAGACATATATAGTATATTTAC